TCTTCCCCACCCCACCCAACCTCCCCCTCCTCCCCCCTCCCTTCTCCCCCACCCCACCCCAACATCCCCCCACCCCGTCCACCCTCTCCCCAACCTCCCTCCCCCCTTCCCCCTTCACCCCCCTCCCCCCATACCCCCCCTCACCTTGATCCTGAAGAGATTATCCGCGTACTCGACCACCTCCGCCTGCAGCGTCTCCTTCATGCCCTCCACCACCTTAGCGGAAGAGGGTTTCAACTTCAGCGTGTACTTCGTTATTCCTTCGCCATTCCTTCCTCCTTCTGCGTCTTTTCTTCCTCCTCCTCCTCCTCCTCCTCCTGCGTCTTTTCCTCCTCCTCCTCTTCCTCCTTCTTCCGCGCCTCCATCCCCTCCTTCTGCGCCGGCGTCAGGAAGGGCGTCGGAGATGGTGTATCCATGGGACGACGCCGGAGGGAAGTAGCAGCTGGGGGCGTCAGTCCTCGGGGCCCAGATGCAGCCCACCTGAAGGCATTGGCTCTCGTCGGCGCCCGCTGCGGGAGGGAGGAGGTTGAGTGAGGGGCGGGAGGGGGGAGTGAGGGAGCGGGAGGGGGTGAGTGAGGGGACGGGAGGGGGTGAGAGAATGGGAGGGGTGAGTGAGGGGGCGGGAGGGAATAAAACAAGAGGAACAAATAAAAATAATAATAATAATAATGATAATAATAATAATGATAATAATAAGTGGAGGGTGAGGGGAAGGGGGGGTAGAATCAAAATATAAAAAGAAGAAAAAAGAAAATAAAAAGGAATAATATTGAATGAATAAAGTAATAATTATCAACCATCTAGTTGGGGGGAGGTGATTTGGAATAACGAACGATAGATAAAGTAATAAAATGGATATTAGCAATAATTATAAATAAATGATCACGAAAGAAAAACATGCGGAAGCAAAGGTAAGGATAAAAAATATAAAAAGTAAGGCATTAAGTATAGACAGGAAGGAATGAGGGATAAAGATGAAAGGAGAAATGAGAGAAAACTGATAAAAGAGACAATAGAACATAAAGCTGAACATATTTTGTGGAAATTAATGATCTACACAAGCGTCATAATTATTACGTATTACCATATTCTCTATTACAGCTATAGGCACATTTGGAATCCCCTCCATCCCCCTTTCCCCTCCCCCCCTCCCACTCACTCATCGGCGCCTCTCTTAATCTATTCTTACTACCTTCAACGCTATGGACATGTTCCCAACACTATAAGATATACGTAACACTACACTGTACGTACATCATAAAGCACACACACACACTCACACACACACACACACACACACACACACACACACACACACACACACACACACACACACACACACACACACACACACACACACACACACACACACACACACACGAATATACATATATATGTATGTATATATATACATAAAACTAGGCCTACATCTATATATTTATAAAAGTAACTTTTAAACGCCATAAACCTAAACACCATAAACCCCCTATCGCCATAAAACCATATCAAATCCTTACAGCACAATACACAAACTCCCCTATACCGTTATATCGCTCTCTAACACCGCATGAATATCCTAAGCTTAACACCCGATTGGAGACAGGCTTGTTCGCGTATTTGATCACCTTAATAACATCGTCCATTTTTTCATCGGATTGCTTAACGCTATGAAGAGACAGCCCTAACGCAATTGGAAGCAAATAGAAAAAATAAATAATTTAATGTCAATAAACACCATAACATCCCCAGGGTAATTAAAGTCTGAAACATAATTTCCCTCTACTTGATCAGACTTCGGGACTATCAGTACCAAGGTAGTATAATTTACTCAAAATTGTTATAATTACCAGAAGTTAAACAATACGAAAAATCCCCTCTTATTTATGATAACGAAGAGTGCGGTCAGAATATTCTTGGGGGAAAACTCAATTTCATTCTTGGATTCAACAGAACAACTGGAAGTGGAGCTACCTGGTTATATATTCACAAAAAAAAGAGATTAATCTTCTACCGATAGCACTAAAATCCCCAACCTGAAACAAGAAATGGTGCTTCGGCGTGTTGGCATCAGGCAACAGTACCGGGACCGCCGTCAGTTTCCCTATTGTGTAATAAAAAAAAAAACTTCCCTCGCACCAATAACAAACTCTCAGAACCACTAAAAAAAAAAAGAAAAAAAAAGACACAGACAAATTCATTTTCTACAGACAGCACAAAAATCCCCTACCAGACACAAGACAAGGTGCTTCGGCGTGCTCGGGTCTGGCAACAATCTTGGGCTCCCAGTTGTGTATCAGAACTCCCATGACAGTGAGTCCAGCCGCCAGAACCATGGCCAAGGCGATGAGGATTATCCTCACCTTCCTCGAGGCAAGAAGATCACTCACTTTTCCTCCTTTTCCCATTTTTAGAGGGGGGGAGGGGGTGAGGGGAAAGTAAGGAAGGATAGAGGAGGTAGAAGGGAGATGGTAAAGGCGGGATGAAGAGGAGTGGGGAGAGACTGAAGGCAGAGGGAAGTGAATGAGGGAAGATGAAGGAGGCAGAAGGAAGTGAATGAGGGAAGGTGGTGGCAGAGGGAAGTGAATAAGGGGAAATGAATGAAGTGGAGAGTTAGAAAGAGATTAAGGGAAGGGGAAGGGGGAGGTGGAAAGGATTGAAGGGAAAGGGAGAGGGGAAAGAGTTAATAGGAATAAGAAAAGATAAGGACTGAGGGGTGAGGAGGGGAAAAGGGAAAAGGGGAGGATATGGGACCCCCCCTTTTTTCTTATATTTTTCTTTGCCTCGTTTTCTCTCTCTTTTCCTTTCTATTTTGCCTTGGGTCTTTGCACTTCTTCGAGATTGTTTATTTATTCAATTTCACTCATTCACCCTTCTCTGTATTTTCAAATAATTCAGCAATCGAAAGACAGAAATAGATAAATGAATAAATAAGTGGAGAAATAAATAAATAAATAATAGAAAAATAAGTAAATAAATAGAAAAACAAATAACATAAGTAAAAAATAAACAAATGAGTGGAAAGATAAATAAATAGATAGATACATAAATGAAATGAATGAAAAAAAGAATAACAAATCAATGAATAGATGAATAATATAGCCTAGTTTACCCTCTAGACCTCACCGATAGATTTCATGTTTTGTGAATGTTGCATTTCCAATTGATAATGTTTATACATAATAATCAATGCACAACAAACTTGGGGCTAAGCCTTTCTTCACGAATGATTCACTTTATTTCTAATTTATATCAAAATTTATATTTTTTTTCTGAAACGTTTGCTGATAATTTTGAATTCGTACTCTACTTCTTAATAAACCGAAGAAGATGGAAACCAGAGGAAACAAGTCATACGGTTAGAAATGAAAAAAAAAAAAGATAATTATTTTTTCCAAGGGGAGGGGCAGGGACAAGGATTAAAATATATGAAACGGTTTTGATATAAACACTCATGGAAATATGAAAGTCAACATTACCATTGTCATTATCACTGTCATTATCTTTACCATTACCTTAATCATAATCACAATAGTAATGATAATAACAAAAATGATATATATTATGATAACAACAACGACGACAGTGACGATGATACTAACGATGAGAGCTATAAAGATGATAGTAGTAATGAAATAACAATAAAGATACTACTACTACTAATAATAATAATAATGAAAATGAAAATTATAATAATAATAATAATAATAATAGTAATAACAAACCAACAACAACAACAACAATAATGATAATGATAATGATGATAATAATAATAATAATAATAATAATAATGATAATAATAATAATAATAATAAAAATGATAATAACAATAATATTAACAATATTAATAATATTCATCATCATCATCTTCATTAGTTATAATAATAGTAATAATAATAATAATAATAATAATAATAATAATAATAATAACAATAATGATAATTATAAAAATAATAGCAATAACAATGATAATAAAATAATAAAAATAATAATAATAATATTAATAATAATAATAATAATAATAATAATAACAATAATAACAATAACAACAAAACAACAATAACAAAAAAAGTAAAAAAAAACATCAGTCCCCCCCCTAACCCACACCGACGCACGTCCCTTTCCACACACCCTCTGACCAAACACTGAAGCCGCTGCCGTGGGAGTCGCACTTATATACACAGACAGACAACAAATTCGTGAGATTATTAAGAGATTTTCCGGTAACTGGATATGAATTTTATGACGGCCTAACCTACTGACAATAACGGTTTTTTTTATTTTTGCCTTTTTTATTTATTCACTTTATCTGATATTTATTGTTTTATGGGTTTAGATATTTCGTTGGAAAATAATTTATTTTTTATACTGAAGTGGCATCTCAAATTTTAATTTGCTGATTTTTTTGGGGGGGTATCTATGTTACAATAAGTGAAAAAGTATATGATGTTAGGGAAATATGATGAATTAAAGTTAAAACTTTTATTACACAGGGAAATGTGAAGGATTTTGAGGGAATATGACCGGCAACTCTCGCCATTGTGCTAAACCTGTTCACCTTGAGCATTTTATTTATTTACTTATTTGTCTACTTATTTATTTACTTCCCTATCCAATAACACTTTCTCTTCTTCTTTCTTTTATTTACGTATTCATGTTTAACAAACGCTCTCTATTTAAACTGTCTATATAGGCCTATCCATATCTTTCCCTCTCGTTCTTTCTTTTTCTTTTATTATTCACCTATTTTCTTTCTCTCTTTCTCATTCTCTCTCTCTCTCTCTCTCTCTCTCTCTCTCTCTCTCTCTCTCTCTCTCTCTCTCTCTCTCTCTCTCTCTCTCTCTCTCTCTCTCTCTCTCTCTCTCTTCCTCAGTCTCCCTCTCTCTCCCTCCCTATTTCCCTATCTCCCCATCTCCCTCACTCTCCTCCTCCTTCTGCTTTTCCTCCTGCTTCTCCTTCTCCCCCTCTCCTTCTTCTCCCCCTCTCCTTCTTCTCCCCCTCTCCTTCTCCTTTTCCTTCTCCTCCTTCTGCTTCTGCTCCTTGTGTTTTAAAAGTCTAGTACTGACGCAACAGTGAGGTTTCCAAAGGAGAAAAAGCCTATAGACTGATTATTTAATGTGACGTGTGCTATTAGATGTGAACAACTATTCTTTGCATATTTTACTTCTATCATTGTCATTATTATCACTTGTACATACTATCATTGTTATTATCGCAATAGTAATCGTTATTTGTAGACTTATTATCATCATATCATTATCATCACTAATAGTAGTAGTCGTATTCACATTACCATTATTATCAATACTGTTATTAACATCATTACAGTCATTATGATCAGACATAACACCACTGGAGGTAGTAAACCTAGCATCATAACTATTATTAACAGTGTTATTATCATCAGTATTAACCCTAGCATCATAAATATTATTAACAGTGTTATTATCACCTTTATTTTTCTCTTTTCTTTTTTAACTGGGGTAAAGGATTATATCACCGTGTACGTGGCATGCGATACAGAAGTAAGATACGGAGCTTTGCTGATAAAAGATTGCAATAACTGTCTTTGAGCAATATCAAGCTGTTGCAGTTTGATCATATCTCAAGGATATGATAGAGGGTAGGGGAAGGAGAGGGAGGAAGGAAGGGGTGTATGGAGGAAGGGAGAGGGAGCAAGCTAAGGGGAGAGAAGGGGGAAGGAAGAGAAAACGTGAGAGGGAGGGAGGGAGAGAGAGAGAGAGAGAGAGAGAGAGAGAGAGAGAGAGAGAGAGAGAGAGAGAGAGAGAAAGAGAGAGAGAGAGAGAGAGAGAGAGAGAGAGAGAGAGAGAGAAGAGAGAGAGAGAGGAAGGAAGGAAAGGGAGCGAGAATGGAGAGGGGGAAGAAAGAGGAATGGTGAAGTGGGAGAGGAAAAAGTCAAGGTTAGAAAGAAACGAGAAGAGAGAGGATAAATGGAGAGAAATCATGTGGAGAGAAGGAAGAGGGAATAAAACGATGAAAGTACACAGATAGATCTAATATATAACGTATAAATTGAATGAGAGAGGGGGAGGGAAGAAATAATGTTATTGATATTGATAGTGTTTATTTATATACAATATAAATATATCCCAAATTGAAACCAAGATGGCTGAGCTTTTGAGAATAAAAGCTCACTTGCTCCCCTTACATCAGTAATTACTCCAAGAAATTTCCTTGCCAAGGGAATTGCGTTCTAATGTTATTGAGTATTAGGAAGGCGTCTTATTATAATCAAAAGTGACACGGCATTTAGTGCTAAAATAACCCATTCACTGGTCTTCCTAATGAGCCCATTAATTATGTACAAGGAGTAATAAACATTCAATCAAGGAGGTGTGAGTTGGAATCATTATAGGAGATATGTAGTTTTAGTTGGCAGTTATGAAGAGAAATAAGCAGTTAATATCATCGGCAACAACATAATGAGTGGTTTATCAAAATTGAGTGGCCTTTGGGGGGGAAATAAAGAAAAAGACGCAGAACAAATCTTGCGTTTCATAAATTTACTGGTCTTTCATGTACTCAAGCTCACACACAAATAGGTGTATAGATGCGTGCATGCATGGATGTATGTATTTATGTAAGCATGTATGTATAGATAGAAGGGTACATAGATATTTGGATTTTACACACACACACACACACACACACACACACACACACACACACACACACACACATATATATATATATATATATATATATATATATATATATATATATATATATATATATATATAGTGTATGTGTGTGTGTGTGTTTGTGTGTGTGTGTGTATGTGTGTGTGAATGTATGTGGGTTCGAGCATACAAAAAAAAGACAGACTTACTGATATAACTTACTGATATAACACGAACGTACGAATGATGTGGATTAAGGGGCAATTCATCACTGATAAGTTTATTCAAATATTCTGCGAAAGGTTAACAAATCCGGGGAGTTGTGGTAACTCATTTTATCATTACCATCATTATCATTATTATCATCATCATTATCATCATCAAAACAAAACCATTTAACATGAAGATTACGCACCGTGCTTTTAATTATATATGCCTTTACACATGAATTTAATTAGATTTGAAATGCATCATTTTTGCGAGTATCATCATTAATAATGCTACGGTACCCCTTCCCATTACCATTATTTTAGATGTCAATCCTATTTCGCGAGATGAAATCATACAGATGTGCACATGGCATGCCGGGACACAGCCATGCATAATAACGCCAGGTATCGTTTAAAAAAAAACGACAGCAGTTGCATGACTTTTTTTTTCTACTTCTCCCTTTTTTGTTTCTTTGTCTCTCTCTCTTCCTCTCTCTATGTATATATATATATGTATACATATATATATATATATATATATATATATATATATATATATATATATATATATATATGTATGTATGCATGTATATATATTCCCTCTCTCTCTCTCTCTCTCTCTCTCTCTCTCTCTCTCTCTCTCTCTCTCTCTC